CTGACCTCGATGACGGCAGGGGGCGGGGCGCAACCGCTCTGCAAATAACGACAGATTTCTGAACGCACCCGGTGAATTCCGTCTGGAATCCTCGTCTAGATAAAACGACATCCACGTCTCAAATGTATGCATCAAGGCACAGGTCAAAAGGTTGAACCGCTAATTGGCACATTGTGGGAGCCTATTGCAGACAACTAACTATTTACTCCCCTCCGACGAGCTAGCAACTAAATAGGTCAAGAAATATTAATAAGCGGATAAGCTAAAAAGCTTATCTACTTATAATCTACAATGATAATTATTTTTGGTGTCCACAGGCATTTTTGTTACCGATATTACCCATTTGGGTTACAGTCAAGTTTCCTAAAATTATTTTCTAGAACTCAGATGTCTTTTACACAAATTTCACACAGGCAAGTGGGGCTTTCGTAATCAGAGCTGTGTTTTCTTACTGCCCTTGTAATCGGTTATCGATATACATATTTTTGAGTTGACGATAAAGCAAATGTTCACCACTGATGTCTGCAGATTAAGCTGGAAATTCTGGTAACAGCTCGTTGTGAATCAATATCTTCAAACACTAGTGACATCAATAGGTAGGTGAAACGCACTATTGATCTACCAACAAGTATCACAGACACTAAACACCGGAAACCTGTAACCCTAAATGGAACGGTGGCCTCATTCATTTAATTTGCAAATACACATACCGATAAGTAGCGAGGACTATCTCATCTCCGTACGTTTATCTAAACGTACAAATTCACAACACTGGTTCTGTAAATCTCTCAAAGTACGAACACACGAGCACAAAACTTGGGGACCGTACACAAGCGCGTCGCGACTCACACTCGACAGAGTGAGCTGTGAGCCGGAATATCGATCCAACTCCTGGCGCCGGCGGGCCGTATATCCCTAGTGCACGCACGCCCCACCCCTCCAGTTTACCACCCCTGTGTAATACAGCATTTATAACGGGGAATCAAATTGACTTTTTATAAAGGCAAATACCTACTTTCTTTAAGCACAAATTTAAATTCATAACTATTGTGAAGTTAGAAATAAGAAAAAAATGAATTACTTAGATGATTCAATTGGATTTTAGTTTTGGTAAGGACAGAAAAAGTCAGTAACATTTCTTAACCAAGTTTTTGGGAATCTGTGTCAAAAAGATGGAAACACTAGATCACCCCTCCCTCTCTGAATGTGGCTGACCGACCTTGTGAGACGCGCCACGCAAACCCCTTTTCCCCTTGTAGATGCCGCCGACACAGGAAATTTGTTATAGAAATTAAAGGTCGGGTTTGCAGGCAAGAAGAATAAAGATTAATAATTGTAGTAGTATTGTAGGTGAAAAAGCAAAATTAAAAATCAAGATTGGGGAAAGTCATTTAATATAAGATATGGTGCTACTGGCGAATAAAATTTTTGTTTGCTCAAAATTATAGGACTTTTTTCATGCTCATTAATACATCTTCTTTGCAGTAAGCAATCTTAGCAAGCTTGCTAACCTAATAGGTACTTAAATAGCTACTTAGTTAATCTTTTTGACGATTTTTTTTCATTTATCGTATATTCAATAAGCCCATTCATATCATTTGAAAAGCCGAAGAATATCAATACAAGTTTACAATTAAAACGGGGATATCTCACAAACGATGTGAATGGCATTGTAACATTTTGTGATACAACATTACTACAATGTTGATGCTGATGTAACTGAGGAGTCGCACGACGTGCCTTTACTGAAAACTGGTGCACTCACGTTTTGTACGAAAACATGGATATCAATATTTTATTGGTGTAGGTAGTATGATATTTTTTATCAGGCTTGAGTAGTAGGGCTGGGTGTATGTTGTTTTTAATACACCTGATTTAACTGTCTGGTTGGTTGAATGGTCGTAACTTTCGAAGACAGCTCAACATTTATATTATTATTTTATTAAGGGTTTAATTAAAAGCTATTAAGCAATGCAACAACAATATAATTATGTTCGAAAGCAAACATAATGCAAATGTGTATACAATAATATCAGAATCAAGAATCAAGATTTCATCTAACTGGATCACACTAAAACACATATAAATGCATGGTACACAAAGCATCTGGCTGCAAGGACAGACATTTCACAACAGATGTATCAAACTATCAGTTAACTGTTTATCAAACATGTTGCATTATATGTAGTTATGTACATACTATGATTGTTTTACAATCTAGAATTTAGTTGGCAAAATTACTTCTCCACTAATAGCAAAACTTGAAATTTAAAATTACTTCAAGACTAATAGCAAAACTTGAAATTTAAAATTCTAATGAACTCTGTTGTTTTTAAAAATAGGGCAATATTCATATTTTTTGTTATTAACATGTATAGAATATTTTAAATAGAATTTACTCTCATTGCTAGACAATACCTTTAGTAAATGGATGGGGATTTCTTAACATGTTTTTTTTCTTTCTATTATATGTGGTTTGCTTGCCATTGTAAAATGGAAAGTATTATAATTATATGGCAATTCGCTAGTTAGCATGAGCCAACTTGCGAATTGAATAATACTTTAATGCAACCAAGACATATCACAGGAAACCATCACAAATTGATGGAAAGATCAGTAAAAACAGTTCCTTACAAGCATATAAAAGCAAAGCTTTGATGTCCTGTTGAATCACACATAGCCTATGGCATTTTGCTCCCTTCATAGAACTTGACTCTTCATTCCTGTCGTCCGTTAGCTGAGCTCATGTTACTAAAAATGCTCTTTGATATTTTTGCAGATGATGAGCAATGAATTACATACAAGGTAATATTTAGTTAGCATTCTTAGCATACATGAATAATTGCACCTTATGACCTTGAGAAGTCACACAATAGATGCTTACTGCAAAGTTATATTGCTTACAAATAAACAATCTTAATTAGCAACACTGTCAGTATAATGAAGGTTTTTACTTTGGTTTATGTGTAGGTCACAGATTGAAGAAGGAAAATATCATGTTCTTACATTACAAGAAACAAGATTGTTGAAGAAATTAGTCATAGTTGAATAGTAATTATGCTGCATTAACATATATAATAAATACTGGTTGGTTGTTTCTCACAAATAATTTGGCAATAATAATTCTAGTTTGGCCTATGAAATAAAATTATTATTTTACAAATTTACTTTCAGTTCTATTATTAATTAACAAAATTATCTGTTTAGTAGTAATTTATCTGCAAAAAATCTCATAAAGATTCCAAATGCCTTACAATACACAATGACATAATTTTTTGCTTAAATATACCTGTTTCAAAAAGAAAACCTAAAACCACTTGCAAAAACTGAGTTGACATAGGGACTGGTCAACAGGCTGCTATGTCATGTGGTGGGTTTGATTCCCGCTCTGAACAATTCTCCGTGTGATCCACATATCTGTTATTTGGGTCTGTAGTTAATCTATGTGAAATTATATGTATGCAAATGCACCCATAGCATAGGAGAAAATCCTATATTGGTCCAAACTCAAAAAAGAAATAAGTACCAATTTAATGCAAACATACTAGAATCCTTAATCAGAAGCATTTCAATGCTGAGTAATGTAAAGTCACGCCCTAGTTGCACCGCCACACTGATAACATTATGGCTGTATCGAGATAAATAATTACTCTGAGACTACACCTGTTTACTAACCAATTTTATAATATTTACTGTAATTATGTAACTAATGAGTATTTATTACATAAGGTGAATGTAGTTTCAAACTGAGATGAAATAACTTTGAAGGTTTTAAGGTGACTTTGATGAAGCATATGAGACATCTTTTGGTCAGTGTGTGAACTCAAGGGCGGAGTTCTTATCTACTTAGTCAATTGTCAATCAGTGAACCTTTTTTTTAATACTTATATTTATATTTTGGTCTCATTCCACAGGCTGTTTTTTACGGAGTAACTTTGGATGGAAATGTAAAAGAAAATTGGGAAAAAATTTATGAGTAGGAATAAGGTATTTATAAAAGTGTGTCATACATAAAGGACTTGTGTATCGTAATGAAATATCTACTAATATCTATAGGAAATAATCAATCTTAGAGGATTGTAAAAATAAATAAATACTCCCCAAATTTCAGTGATAGCGGAAACATCTTGTGTGTCACACTTAAACATATAAAATAGAGGCTGAATACCTAAATAAGAAGCAGGTGTTATAATTAAATCAGTCCTTTCCTGAATTCATCAAATACACTAACACAACCTGATTTGTTTTTTTTTATTCTATTTTACATTAAAAATAAGAATGCAATCAACAATTATATCTAATGTTAACAAAATTGCTTAAATACATTAACTAAATCTATAGACATTTAGATAATTGGATCAGATATGAATATACCTACCCAAGCTATGTTGAGAATATTTTAATCATCCAAGATAAAAAAGCAGAGCAATTTTTTAGGGTACCTTCCTTAGATGTGTTTTTGACACTTTTCTATCATTTCATAAAACATGAAAAATTTAAATATATCTACAAATATTTCATTGCCAATGGAAGAAATAGCATGAGAATATAAAAAATTCTTATAAGAAATAAAAATAATTCTGCTGCCTCATATATGTCTTGTATCATTCCTAAGACAATAGGTGGATTTGAATTGGCCATTCCATTAAGGAGGTACTTACTCTAGCAGCTTTGGCTTGGCGGCACAAACGTCGACTCATTTAAGGCGTTACCCAAATGAAACGAGATACCGGGAACGAAGTACGACTACTTAAGCCAATTGAAAGCAATTAAAGAAAGGCACCAAGACCCAAATTTTTTAACCAAGAAAATATAATTTATTAGTTTACCAGTTAACAGACTTCTGCCCAGTTAGTTTAGTAGGTACAGAAAGTAGATACTTATTACGAAAATGAAGTGCAAAGTGCACAGACTAATCCAAAATTCGGGCTTGTGATGACATCGACCTCAACTTTCAAAACAATATCTTATCAGTTTTATGAAATAACTTTATTACATACCTTCTTTTATGGGTCCTGAAATGTTTTTTTAGCCGGGTTGTACACATAAATCGTCGGCACACACTCAATATTACACTTTGGATGCGGGACCGTAGCCAATCGTACCCAACTCAAATCCACAGCACAAACACTTTAAAATCAGTCTTCAAATCTACTTGTAGAAAAGATAACATAACACTTATGAGTTGAAATTTATAAATAATCGCTATTCATGTATAATTCGTTGGAATATCATCCGTGACTGCGAGTACGAACACGGCATCGAAGGCGAAGCGAAAGACCGACCGCGAAAGCATCCACCTTCGCGCCGCTCATCGCATAGATTACAAAAAAAATGCGCAACAGACAAGTCAAAACTCAACAAGTATCATGAAGTATCACCAACATTAAACCTACAAACTTTATTTTTTTTAAATCAACAAAGTAACTAAATTCGTTTTAAAAAAAAGTGTCATAAGATAGTTATGTAAAAAATTAAAACAATTTGTGAAATAAATCTATATTAATCTTCTTTCCATGAAATTGATGAACTGAACGCATCAAATTTAAGTTAAAAAATGTTAACATAACATAAAGTTGCAAAATGGTTTTAAATGAAAATTGTTATTCCTCAAATAAGTTTCTTCATGGTAGGTATTATATGTTGCAAAGAGTATTAGTCGTATCTGTATGTCCTCTACCACTTTAATCTTTGGCAATTTGTCCAAAATGACATCATCTACAAGTTTATCAAGTGACGTCCATTTCCATTTCGTCCGTCCGGTTTTGTCTATGGTTATAAAAGTTAAAATTTCAATTTATTTTAACGTTCGTAACAATAAATTACGAAATTTCATTTAGAATAAAAAGCTTTACTAAGTTAGTTTTATTTGTATAAAAAACATAAAAAATATGAGCACGCCCAACACTAATGACACTGACCAAAAAGATTTGGGATGTGAGGTCACCTAATTTTTACCAATATGTACATTATACACACCTTACGTTTTAATGTCTTTAGGTAATAACAAGTTTGGGTAGTGAATTTATTTAAGAAAATTATAGAAGAATTAACGAAATTACATGTGTGGCGAAGAGTCATTTCACATTTTAGTCGATTCGTCTATGGACCATTTTCGATGGTCTCTGTCTCACTACTAGTGTCAAAAGCGTACCTGTCAATGATTCTGAACGGTCAAAGCGCGGGAATTTAAAACTGTCTGTTTTATTTGGGCATTAGGGCATTTTATGCGTTGTGGATAAACGTAAACGTAGTGGTTACATACTCTTTGATAAACGTAGTGGTTAGTAACCACTACGTTTATCTTATATCGTTTTTCGTTTATATGTAACCACTGGTTACATACACCCGGTTTCTGAAAGGCTTGTCAACGCTAAAATTAATCTCCTGTTAAATCTCTTGTCAAGTCATCTGATTGGTTGTTGATAATTCAGTCAACCAATCAGATGACTTGACAAGAGATTAAATTGATTTTAACATTGATCGGCCTTTCGGAAACCGGGTGATACTCTTTGAAACGTAGTGCATATTCTCTTTGGTTGTGGTGTGCTGACTGATATCGTACATAAATTATACCTATTTTTATCAAATGTTACCTAACATTACCAGATTGTCCGAATGGTTTTAGGTATTTTTAATATAGGAAAAACGTTATCCCGCTCTTGGATTTTCTCGTGTATCGTACTTGCGTATGAGGGTATATTAATTAATAAACGGTCATTGGTGCGTATGTTTAAAACCTACAATTTCACACACACATCACACCCAGACTGGACATTGACAACAATTTGTAAGAGAGAGTTGTTCCGTTGTTAGGTAGTTCTCTAATGCCCGGTTCCTATATTTAACGAATCGTCATTGTATACGCATTACGATCAAATGACAGTACACATAGTTATCTTGACCGTCTACTGACGGTTAATATATTTATAGGAAAACCACAGACACCATAGATCTCCATACAATTCGCTTACCGATATCCGTTAGTTGCAAACCGTCAGTAAGTTGCACGACGAGACGTTTATTATAGGAACGGCTTTAGCTCACGAGTCGTATATAAAACTACTATTCGTAATTAAAACGGATCGTTTCTCGATTATAGGAACCGCGCGTAATTAAAGTACGGTCTGTTAGAATTTATTCGTTATACATATAGTAGGTAGTAGTATAATGATTGGAGATTGTAATATTTTCAGGGTTTTATTCCTTTTATAGCGGGTACTGTAATTGACATTAAGTGCTTGATTATGATAGAAATATAAATATTGTTTCAAAACAGTCAACATCCGAGATGGTCCCATTAAAATTAATAAAAAAAACATAGCTCTAACTTTCGTTTACTGTTTTATTACAAATTGTATAAACATATAAAATTTCCATCCAAATATTCATGATAAACATAAATATTTTCTTCAAATCACAAATACTTAATACATTCTTTATTTTGAATGTTCTTAAATTAATAGCTTACTGCTATGTACTTATTTGCTAATTTTCGAGGAAGCGCTAATGATTTTATTTTAATGTAGGTAAATGTGCAAATCATGCTTACAAAATAATGCAATAATTACACAATATAATAACTTTGTATATTCTTTCTTTTTAAACTAGTATTACGATGGCTTATATTTTATGTACTTAGAGTTAAATAATCTTTAACTTTTACTCTCTTTAATAATCATTATTATACCCAATCATCTAAGTGTACCTATCTACCTACAAAAGTCAAATCAGAAGCACCGCCTCAAACGACAGAATGTCGAAAAACAAAACTAAAAATAAATAGTTTCTTACTAACTATGAAGCTAGAAAGACATGCTTTGGGAGGTTACCTACTTTGAAGAGCAGTCTTCAGTTTAATTTTACAGAAAACAAAGGTACTTGACATATTTTGCAACATCAGACATTTTCATGTCGCGATTGACAAAAACAAAAAGGAAGCTAACGCCTCTCTCTCTCAAGATTGTTAAAACCAAGAGGTGAAGAATAAATTCTGCATCAAACTGTTTTTCAAAAAAACCTAATAGAAAACACATTGCGTCTCGCGTGGCACCTATCATAATAATTACAACTTGGTCTCAATATTACACATTTTACACCAGTTACTTTATGTTGAAACATATCACATCTAGGAACAGACATTTTAGAAAAAAAATACTGAGTAATAATTTATCCGATTTCTTTACGTCATAAAAGATCACAGAAGTTAATAATAATTTATAAATATCCAGTGATGCAAAAATGTTCAGGTAAGTAGGTACCATTAGCAATTCACCTGGATTTATAGTAATATGCTTTATGCTTCTTTATACAAGAAGATTACTTTCTTGCTATGAATATGTCGCCAAAAACTAGTTTAAATAACAGCCTAGTTTGTGTAAAAAATGATATTGCAGTACATACAATACAGCTACATATTATGGTAGCTATATTTTTCATGGCAATTTAATTTTTGTGAAGTGCGAATATATCTTTACCTAACGTACCAATTTGGAAGCAACTCGGTTTTAATGATAATTCCATCACTATTAAGCTTGTCGCCTGAATAAGAAATTCAGCCATTCAATCAAATGGCCAGTCATATAGGCCGTTTGTTAAACGGCTAGTAAAGCTAGTTAGCTGCCACATATAAACGTACCTATATCTCAAATGACTGAGAGAAAAGTGAAATACATATCGCTTTTAAAACTCGCGTAAACCCACATCACGCCGACGGGCCGCTTGTCAGAAAGCCCTAGAATATGGCCAATTATTGCTGGAAGATGAATGGTGGTCTAAATAAGGGCTATCTGTTAAAAGAAGTTTGCTACCACTAAGACCAGAACTGGAACTCTCGCTTGACGAAAACATGCTCTTGCTTCCGGTGTAGAACGATAAAGACGTATGCAGCGGCTCTCTTCCAAGACGCCGTCTTGCTCGCACCAAAGATATAAAGGCCACCGCGATTGCGCAGAGGAAAATGATTCCTAAGACACAGAACGCTAAGGCCATTTTTCCTGGGGACAAGCATATTGTCTTGTCTCCTGGTGAAAATCCTCGCACAAATTCGTCTTCTTCTGATTCTATTCTTCTTGACCCTGTAACAATTGGAATATCGTCAGTTTTAAATTCAAATCACCTTTGGTTGCAATTGTTTTGAGTAGGAATATTTCATAGAGAAAATGTCTATTAAAAACCTACCTCTAATTGAAGCTTCGTCTTCTAATTCTATATTCGGTGCATGAACCTCTATACTATTGTATACTTCCAGTCTATCGATTACGATACCCTTAGTATCCTTATCTAATCGAGCCTTCCTGAGCAGCCCATCTCTGGTTTGTTGGGGTTTCTGCAAAGCTTTGCAGTCCACGGGTGGACATTGCCCTTTGCAGAGCTCAATTCCACAAGTCAAATGTAACTTAGCTCTGTCAGGAAATTTGAAAGCCGCAAAAGTAGTAACAGCGTGTTGATAAGTCATAATATTCTTAAACATATTTTCTGGGTCGGATTTTTCTAGTTTAATTGAGGTTTTCTCATCAATATTCTTCTGGAGATCAACGGGTTCTAGATCAGAAAAGTCAATTTCTGTGCTTTTGTGTTTGTGGTGGTGGATTGATGGTTTATTGAAAATGGTTTCATCGATAGGACAGCCAGCGTCGTCGAGTAATTTCTGTGATGCTTCTCCTAGTCCGTCGTGAGCGACGCAATTAGTTACTCGGAGTCCCACGCCCACTGTTGAATAAGGATAGACATTGAGTAATAGGTACATTTAGTCATCATACAATTTTTCAATTGAATTACGACCATTTTGTAAGAGGATAAGAATAAGAATAGGTAGTTGAGTTACTGATGTAAATAACATACTGCGGTAAAATTACCTCTTTAAACATATTTTACCCGTTTTCAGACTGTTGCAGCAATATTACTCTTGACAGATTCGTCTCTGACAAGAGTAAGAGTGTTTAACACTATAAGTACTAAATAAAAAAATCAAACAATAGTTAACTACTTATAAGACGCCTGAATAACATAATATTTAAAATTACTGAACCGTGGATCGTACCACCACTCATAGACAAACTACGATTACTCAAACTGAATTCAAGGCGTTTGCCTTTACTGGTATCATCAGTCATGTTAGCTTACTATAATAGGCGTCTTCCTTTATCTGACATTATAAAGCTAGAATAATTTAATAATTTCAATAAAAAACAACATTAATTCCTGTAACTACTGTCGTCTACACAATTCAAATTCTTTATTAGCATTCCATATGTTAAATGACAGGTGAATAGACGAAACCAAATCATTTTTTCAGTTGTTACTGACCGGCTAATAGAAATTATATTACCACATGTTATTTCTATAACTATGCCTATCATCAAAAAATATGAATGAAAAAGGCTATTCGACGGCTACTTTGCGGGTACATTTATAAGGTATAATATAAATATCCCGACAGCTTTATTTCTACACTATCCATTTTTAATATTTTTTACTAACCAGGTAAAGTGCATTGAATAAGTAGTCTTGTGGGCTGTCCAACTTCGACTGTAGCGGGCTCTGCAGCAGACACTGCTGGGGCCAATTCCATCCAGGCACGTGCAGCCGCCATCAGCCACTCACGTTGCTCTAATTCGGCTGCATTTGCAAATCCTTGACGGTTGCGGCCAGTTCTAAAATATAATTATTTTATTGTCATTGCTTCGGGCTAAGACTTAATACGTTCAATTAAGTGTTTTATACTTAACACTAGTTAGCTTTGCAATATCTACACTTAAATTGTAAATAATGTAAAATATATATAAAACATAAGGAGATGTCCATGTAAGTTTACCTTGTTTTCTTCGCCTCCCTGGTAGTCATTTCGCGTAATTTATTGTTGATTACCGTCTCTAATGCCGAGCTGTTGATGCGAACCGCCCGAGGTTGTAATTTACATCTGAAATTCATCACAAAACATAAATGTAAATTGTTTCTTTCTTGTAATTTTGATAATGTAACCATAAATAATAAAATTTAACTAGCCAATAAGTTGTTTCCACATTAAATTCGGGTTGGATGGACTCTCAGACAGATAGGTATCTAATGACATAAAATGCTTATTTAAAAAAAGCGTTTCCTGAAAACTGGCAAAATAAATTCAATAACTGTTTCTGATTTCATTTCAATATGCAAAAAGTGTTATGTACATTTTAGCATTACCTATGCATAATATACTTTAAAGCTATCGCTTTATGCAACGTTCTGAGCAATCTAGAAGACCTTATCAGAAATTGCATTATTTTTATGTCTACTCAGTACTTGACGCATTCCACATGGAACTAGATTTTTAATGGCCTTGCACCTTGCTTCTAAGACATGAATATATCGTTGAATCTGGTTACGTAAGATTTTTTTCACCTTTACGTAGGTACTTGATCCTTAGACCTGTTTATGTTCCCACAACAATTAACATTAGATAATAAATTACCCTCTTTATTTTTGAATAACTCTTGATTTTACGTTACACATATGCCGTTCGTTTCAGTAGTATACGATTGACTGATTGATAAAATAATATATATTTTTAAGTGCTATCGAGATTTGCATTTTCTATTTTTTGTAAAAAAACTGAAATAACTTCGCCATTATTCCATTACCAAACAAAGTATGTATTTTTCCTCACCTAACTAACAGCTCCTGGTCGGATGATTGTTGCAGCTGTCTATCCATCTGCACGACCAGCTCCACGTTGTAATACAAATCATCTTCATCATCAGGTTCTTCCACTGTGGTGTTCATAGTCGAGGTTCTCACGCCACATGCGTTCGATGGCAGATTTAAAGTAATTTTATTCTGATGACTCCCTGAAATTTAAAAAGCTTCCTTAAGTTCGTTTAATATGTTTATTAATCGAATCAAAGACAAAGTGTCTTTCTTTAGTCAGACTATACTACACCATTTTCTTTTAAATTACAACAAATTGATGGAATATAACAAAACTTTGGTAATGATGTGTGGTTATGTTGGATATAAATATCAATATACCATCTCGTACGGGCTCACAGTTTGGTTTAAATGAAGTTATAAATTATATTTTGTGGAGGCTTTTGTACCTTGAACTCGACATTCCCTTGAGAAGTCTTTACTGAAGACAAGTCCTTTAAACGGTTGCGCCATCTCCAAGTGGATTGTCATGGATGTCTTATCGCAGACGGTAGACACACTGAATACTCTGTTTGGCTGGATCTGTTGGCACAGATTCGGCGACGCCAGCCACATCAGTAGTATTGCACGCCACATCTTGGCGTGCCCTGAAATTGTGGAAAAAGAAAACATTTATAAAAATTACGATATTTCTTAAACAGGAATACGAAATGAGCTAAATTGTTCAAAAAAAAAGTTATTTTTAAACTGTCAATAAACGAAGTCTTTGTCCTAAGTACTATAAGAAAGGTTCATTTAAAGGTCCTTAATCCTTAAACGTAAAGTTATATCATAGCCAGGGCTATTTTCATTACGTAATAAAGTAAGGTTCATGGAACCTGTATCTAAGTACAGCGATCTAATAATAAAATAAGAAGGTGTTCGCGACTACTAGACGGACTAGATCTGTGGTGCCACTAGTGTGTCTAGCCGGGTTGATCGACAATTTGCGGTCAATACCGCGGTTACGGCGGCGGATATGAAAGCAATTTGAGACAATATACAATTTACAAAAATTGAAGTTTTGATACAAGTAAATAAAAATAAGTGTAGGCTTATATCCTCTAGGTTTTTCTTTTTTTTTTTTAAGGTTTGGAATTATGTCAATTTTCTGCTAATTTACCATGACTTTAAATCACAGATCACAAATAAGTTTAAGGATAAAAGACGGCTCTCTGTTTTAATGCTAACATATTTCCTCTAACCCCTGACGCTAATAACTTACCGGACAAGACTCGTATCTTTGAGGGCGTTAAACGAGCCGAGAGTTTAAGCATAATCTTAGACAGAGATATATTGAAAGGGGCGCTAAGTATATTTGAAAAAGCGATCTATTGTGCTTTGCCATCGAGGCGTTTAACACAAGATTTATAGTTAATTCTTCCTACTAATCGGCAAAATCTCATATGCCTTTTATATTGTTAAAATATACAGTTACATTTCCGGTCTTTGTCAACTATCTCTGATGGTACATTTAGATAGAAGAAATGTTCGAAAGACAATTAAATTGTTTATGCGGGAGAGTAAAATTGGGTCTCACTGATCTAGGAGTGTGTCGTGAGATTCTGAGTGCGATAAAATCGACTTAGTTTTACTTTTGTCTATCACGCATTGTTCGTTAATATTGTTTAATAAAAGAAGCTTTTTTTTGTCAGGGGAAAAACATTAAATGACTTCTCCCGCCCAGGGTAAGGCGAGAGAGTGTCGGATTCTTACTAACTAAAAAACCCCCCGTTCCTTCTCATGCTGTAATTGGCATTTATCTTTTACTTCTGCTTACACGACTTAAGGCGTTAGATGAGTAATTTTGCTACGTATTTATTTGTAGAAAGTTAGTATTTTTAAGAACCATTGTATATATGTATTTTTCTATGAGAAAATTAAATTACTGTTCGCCTCAAAGTGTCTCTAAAGTTCTCTCTTCGAAGTGTCTCTAGTTGAATCTAATTCTAATCTCAAGTAAGCCCTTCAACTTCAATGAGTTATAAGTAAGAGGTCATCATTGTAAGAAAGTTTCATTAGCGTCATTCAACAATCACCTTTCGTTTGCAAGTTTCGGTTTGTCTCTAAACAACTTATAGGTAGGTACCTAGCCTTATTAAATCTTGCCATCAAGCATCACTTCTTTTGCGACGTCAGGACACACTTGCATTTTCTAATATTAGATACATAAGTACCTGGGTCTTGAAGAAATAGTGCTGCTGTTCTTGAGTGGATGCAATTATGAAAATAAAAATACTTATCTCAATTGTAGCAATGTAAAAATTATCATGGGTTGGCTAATGTTAGGTAGGTACCCTACCTACATTACGCAGAATGGAATGAATAAAATTATAGAGTACATTGCGTCCTATGCTGTATGCAATAAAAATACCGAGTTTGTTGTATTTCTAGTTTTATGGGTAAAAAAAGGTTTTCATTCTGAGGATTTAAATCTTTACACGCAAACCGAGAATAAAGCTTCGGGATAACCTACCTAGAATAGTATTTATAACTTCTATGCATCGAAAGAGGTTGCTATAACACGATGTGACAGCTTCAAGTGCGCTGGCGCTTCTGTTTACAGTTATCTAACTCTCATGGTTTGTCACAAACAAAAACAATTACATAAACAGCTATGTGGTGTTGCGTAATTAACAATTAGTGGGCAATTACAACTGTATAAGAATGTGAGACCGACCATCTGTGGGATCTCGACCATCTCTTTAACGTGACACGTGTGAAAATAAGGGCCATTACAAGAATTAAAGAATGCCCACCAAATTGTTATGTTGGCGTTATTTGTGAATTAGAGTTCAGTTTTGGAGAACCGAAGAAACGAAGACCAGGAGAGTATTTACCTATCTACCTCGTTGTTTTGTTGATGCTTAACCGGTTCTGTTGTTTTTCACGTTTTAAGGTAAAGTAACCTTAAAAGATATTAACAAGTTAATAAGTACCTAAATATGGTACGCGATACCTACCTACCCAAAAAGGCACTCATAATGAAATTATTTGTATACACACAGCTACATTACACTTAATTAGTGAACCAGTAGGTATTGTTCATGTAAATAAGGAATATTTACCTATATGGTGCGTGTAGGTGTGTAGGTAATTAACTTATTAAAATCTAGATTGGTTTATCAAAGAAGCCTGCTCTAAATTGTATCAAGGTCACAAATTCACAAGCCATCAAAGACATTGCGCAGTGATGACCATAATACACGATACAGATGAAATCGATAAAAATATCGATTTAAGTGAAAGCAATTTTTATTGAGCGTGAGATCAAGATTTGGTCCACGAATGATTTGTTAGATACGCCTTTCGCATGCTGAAAAGTTCTCCACAACATTTAAGAACGCGTTCAAAATAATTAGAACCCTAGTGAGTTGGTAAATTTACAATCGTGGCCAAGTGCTGTCATTTCTCATACCATGAGAACTAACATAACGGGGAACACAAATTGTAATAATCTATTTCTTAGCCGCTACGCCTATTTCATTCCCATCTTCCGACATTCAAAGATGGCGTCGTGTCAGGTGCGTACACTATTGTAATATGAATTTAACACAACGTTAATACGAAATGTAATAACTTGTCAGAAGATAATGGTCTTCATAATTTACTTGTATCATTATTTTCGTCCAAGTTCGTCGACATAGCCATATTTTTTTTAGTTAGTACTTGTGTAGTAGGTGGGTACAATACTTAATGATCAATTTACTGCGATGAGATCGCACACTAATACAATCAAATATAATTCAAATTATTCCTGTAATAGAATCTCGGTTATCGATTACTGTAAATTGGCCTAAATTAATGTTTTTGAGAATGATAAGTAGCCAGCTTTGTTCGTAACTAATCCAATTATTTTACATGAAATAAAAAAGATCCTTTTTTGTTAAGCATATAAAAAATATCTTATCATATCATAAATATATCTACTTGTAGCTTTAACTATTTAAGTATATTTGAGACGAGGAGATGTAGAGAATACGATGGAGCGATGTCAATCCCTATGGAACGTTCGTAACCATATTGCGGAAATTAATTGCATTTATTTAGACACCGCTTACATACGGTGAAGGAAAACCTTGTGAAGAAATCTGGACTTATAATTTATTTTTAAGTTTGAAATCGCCAGTGTACCTTGAGCAAATCTGGTATTTTATTGCTGAAACCTTCTCCGTATGAGAAGAAGCCTTTCAGCGATAGGCACTTAAATAGGCTGATATTTTTCATTTGGTCTAACGCTTTGATCAGGGAGCAAAATTTTTATCAATCGGTAATCTATAAAAAAATCGTCAAAAATCATCAAAAGCATGGCTATTAGATAACATTTCGAGGTGAACTATTACATACTTACCTACTTATATGTATGTGTCATAGAAAATATTGATTACGCGACGACTAGTAGGTAAATCGATTTCTTGTTTTGAATTGATTTACTACGGCACGAACTTTTTTACGGAAATTGACCCGTTATGACATAGTGATATCGTATACAACCTACCTTAGATCTTTATGGAAAAATATGGCGATATGAAAAAACTGTTTAAACCAGTTCTATTGTAAGCTATTTTGAAACCGTTATTAGATAAATATTTGGTCTAGAGCAGTAGTTTTATTCAAAATTGTCTACTATATTAGCATAATTTGTTTGTTCTATCCTTTCACGGCACCACAGGGTCCCGGACCTTTGGAAGGCGTACGAGGAGCCGAAGCCAACTCGCAGAGGCCCGTTGAACAATTTTAATCTAAATGTGATGGGACATCAGCCGGCAATTATCCCTGTATGCACTATAAAAGTGCATCCAAGGACAATCCCCGGTTGATGCAGGACTATTGTGAAATATGGTAAAAATTGATAAGGGTATAGGTATTGGTTGCTTAGGACTGGTGGATATGATAACTATGGAAATACTATGGCCCCTGCCCCTGACCAATATTGATACATACGGATAAACAGGCAGGGGGTGACTGGCAAACTCAATTAATGGGCCCCCGGAAACGGCCGCTAGCATGTAGCGACACGGGGGCAACATACGTTGAGCTGCTTGGGGAAGGAGAGGCATCCCACGGCTATCAGAGCAATCCCGGAAGTACGGTCAAGACCCCTACCAGCACCTTACTGAGACACATCCTTCCCCCGAGTCTCCTTCAACTCCTACTCTTGCGAATCTCCACTCAAGCCAGCCAATTAAGGCAAGGATGAGGTAGGAGGGCTTGTTCTTCATCAGTTTTCACTCCAGCTCGTCACGAGGACTAACCGGAGGTGAAGAACAAGACACCTCCCGGGAGTCAGGTCCGTGGGGTCGCCACTGCCCAACAGCTCGCCACAAGCTGCCTTGCGGATTTAGCATATGCTTTGAAGAATGGATTTTTACCTAAAAAACTTTGAGCCTTTTTAATGCATAGTAATTAAGAGTCTCTGCCTGGTCTTCACTTTGAAATTTAGACTAGCAGCCCTAACTTAAGCCACCCTCAACATAATTCCGTTAGTTCAGACTTTGTAACTTATGATTCATATGAGATACTTGTAAGTCGTTCCGTAAGCTATTTAAAATATAAATTAATTTGTATAGCAATACTTTGGGTTCAACAAGCAATCCATATCTTAGTT